AGCCACATATGGTTCTCATATATAAATCCATGTCATCAAAGTCTAACTCAAAGCCAAGGAAACGGATGAGAAACATGATGCACACAAATACACTAAAGTTTACATCCTTCTGAATGTGTTTGTAAAATGTCTGAAAAGCAGCGGTTTCTAGCTTTTGTGCTGTAAGCAGAACTTTTGCATGAGGAATTCAGGTTTTTACAGCTTGAACCAAGTGGCTTTGGGGGTAGCGAGAGAAAGAAAGGGGGTTAGAAAGAGTTCTGAGATGCCACATCAGAGGGGGGCTTTGAAAAAGGAGACTTGTGGTTAGTTTCTCCAACTGCTGGACACAAAAGGCAGTGCGGTGGGAAGGGGGCGTCTGCTGAAGATTGCTTAAAATCTGTTTACACTGCTCATTCATCAGCAGTTATCACAGGAATGACAGGATGTGGTAGTATAGCATGATCTGAGGGCCGGGGCAATGGGGGAGTAGGTTATCCTTACATTACCCAACCTGGACAAGATTTAAGACAAAAGGCACAGTTGTTGTTCTCCCTGTATAAAGGATTTTTTCAGGTTCATACTAATTTAAAGGGAAAGTTCACCCAAAAATGTCAATTCTGACATTATTTGTTCACCCGAACGTATTCCGAACATATATGCTTTTATTTTATCTCCTTTTGTCCATATGTGACAGTTCATAGTGGGGGGTATAAAAATACTCCGTTCTGAATATTTAAAAGTGCTACATTCAGTGACAAACACAAGAACCAATGCAGAACAAACCTGGTGTGAAAATTAAACTGAATCTTGTGAGATTTGTTGACGTCAAGGGTAAGGAGGACTATTATTGAATATAATCTATGGAGCTTGATAGATGGAGTTTGAAATGTTATATGCGGCTCTATGTAGATTTTGTATTTTGTTTCATTTTGTTGGGAAAAGAAAGAAAACTCAGCTTGTAAATAAAAAAGCATGCTTTGACAGTAATACGCTTTTAATGGAAGTCAAGGGGGAAAACGTTTTTTTTATTTTTATTAAAAGCTTGTATTTATCTCTTCTGTACAAAGTGTGTTATTGCAGCTGTTAAGTTTTATAAATCATCCTTTTAGCACTGGCAGTAATGTTATAGGTGGACGAAACATCTGGATATACATTATAGACTCACGTTACATGTGGATTTTTTTCATAAGTTATAGGATCTACTAACATTAGCCATGGACGGAATTGAAGAATTGTATATATATTTGCATAAGCAAGGTTACTAATTGATTTAATCACACTAGTCACATGTTAAAGCCATGTTTAAGTATTGTGGATATATTCTGAAAAGTATTTTAGCATTCATCACAGACCTCCATTGTCAACACATTACTGTAAACACAATCTTTTCTTGTTTTGGAGTGAGAGACAAGCCAAAAGTCATTCTGTGGTAATCGACTCTGTGCCACGGATGCTGTCGACAGCTTGTGAACCTGGAATATTCCTTTAAGATACGCTCCCATGTGCCCTTTTTATGTGGTTTGTGAATTACTGTACATCAGCTGCAGTGAAAAACAAACTAACTTCTGAAGAACAGTTAAGTTGACCAGAAAAGTGACTCAGATTCTCTTCTGAAAAGAATGATGCAACAAGTGCTGCCTAATCCCAGAGTCTCTGATCTGTCTGAAACACAGACACACAGATACATGTGGGCTCCCGGCAAAAATGAACTCTGGGTAATGGATTTCATGAAGCATCCTTATAAATGTTTTAAGTACTAAAAGTGACTTTTCTTCAAGAGCTGCAACAGACTCGAGTACTTCCTCTAATAAACATCTAGTGTCCGAGCTTCTGAGAAGAAACTGTTGGTCACAGAAGTGGTGTTGGGTTGAGCTGTGTGTGGGCACAGGAGGGTCGCCCCTGTTCAGCTGCCCTATGAAGAGTGTAAGGGGGTGTCTGCTGAAGACTGCTTAAAATCTGCTTACACTGCTCATTTATCAGCAATTATTACAGGAATTACAAGATGTGGTATGTAGCATGAGCTGAGGGCCGGGGGAATGGAGGAGTAGGTTATCATTACATTACCTGACCTGGACCAGATTTAAGACAAAAGGCACAGTTGTTGTTCTCCCTGTATCCCTTAAAATATTTTTTTTCAGGTTCATACGAAGTGTGTTAAGTTTTATAAATCATCCTTTTAGCACTGGCAATAATGTTATAGGTGGACAAAACATCTGGATATACATTATGGACTCACTTCTACATGTGGATTTTATATGTACATATGTAAAAGTTATAGGATTTACTGGCATTAGCCATAACAGGAATTGTATATATAGAAATTGTATATGTATTTGCATAAGTAAGGTTACCAATTGATTTTTATCACACTAGTCACATGTTAAAGCCATGTTTAATATTGTGGATATATTCTGAAAAGTATTTTTGCATTCATCACAGACCTCCATTGTCAACGCATTACTGTGAACACAATTTGTGCTTGTTTTGAAGTGAGAGACAAGCCAAAAATAATTGTGTGGTAATCGACTGTAGCCTATGGCACGGATGCTGTCGACAGCTTGTGAACCTGGAATATTCCTTTAAGATACGCTCCCATGTGCCCTTTATACATGGTTTGTGAATTACTGTACATCAGCTGCAATGATAAAAAAAACAACTTCTGAATAACTTTTAATTTGGTCAAAAAAGTGACTCTTCTGAAAAGAATGATGCAACAAGTGCTGCCTAATCCCAGAGTCTCTGATCTGTCTGAGACACAGACACATGTAAGCTTTTTTATCAAGAACTGCAACAGACTCGAGTACTTCCTCTGACAGCATCGAGTGTCCGAGCTTCTGAGAAGAAACTATCAGTCACCGAAGCAGTGCAGGGTTGGGCTGTGTGTGGGCACGGGAGGGTCGACCCAGTTCATCTGCCCTATGCAGAGCATAGTGTTGCATCAGGCCGGAAAAATGCTCCACTCAGCCACCAGGGCACTAATTACAGAGGACCTATGCTGAGCTCGACAGGAAGGACGTCAAAGACCAAACATGGAGATGGAGGGAAAGAGGCAAGAGAGAGAGAGAGAAGGTAGACAAAGCAGTGAAGAGAGGAAGAGGGCCCTTAACAGCTAACAAAGCTGTAAAAATAGAAGGGTGGGAGTCGAGACGCAGACAGGGTGTGAACATTTTCTGAGGCATTATATTTACCTGCTCGTACGCAATGCGTAACCAGCCAACAATAGGTTTTAGAGATAATGAGTCTGGAACTGTAACAAATTACCTTACTCTTCACACAACCAATCATAATCTGCCTATACAGATATGCTTAATGACATTAGTAAGGTTTTGTTGCTTAAAATTGGATGAGATAAAGGAGCTGCTTTTTTACCCTTCATTTTGACTAAAAGGGCAGAAAAGACAGAGACAGAAGCATGTGACTTGTAAATTTAGATTTGTGGAAAGTCTGCCTCCTTGTGGTATGTGAACAATGATACTGCTTTTGACTCCTGCCAGGGAGTAAAAAAATATTAAATATAACTTTCACAATTTTTATAAAAAATATTAAGCAGCACAACTGTTTTCAATCAGCAAATCTGCATATTAGAGTAGCTTCTGAAGGATGATGTGGCTGAAAATGTAGTTGTAGGAATAAATTACATTTTAAAATATAAATCAGTTATCAAATTGTAATATTTCACAATATTAGTTATTTATTTTTGATCAAATAAATGCAGCCTTGATAAGTATAAGAAAATATTATCAGCCTCAAACTTGAGTACAAAAGAGTAAAAATAAATCTAGGTAGTATAAATCTAGGTTAATGTTAATTTCTAAATTTACTGATATATCAACATTTGTACAAATTAACATTAAATGTATGATAAATTGGCAATGAACAATTTTTAAATTACCAACCTACATTCATAAAAAAAAAAAAATTCATAATGATGATGTATGTTTACACCTAATGCAATAATGTTAATAGATAACCCCTTTCTCAAATCAAGCCATTCTCAGATTCTTGGCTGTGTGAGGTCACACAGACGCAGACCATTCCCACAATTGTTGATAGACACTGGCGTTTCAGCATAGACCCGCCCTGAGTGAGCTGTTACAGTCCGCCATTGTTTCGACGCTGGAGCAGAAAACTAAACGACTGAGGTGTTCTGTTGTTGGATATAATAATGAACATAGCAGTCGTCATTTACTCCTGACACCCGAGGCGCTGAAGACGCAGTGGATTAGCTTTGATTTTGAAGGGAATGTGGCCCCCGATCTACCTAAATGCATCTATGTTCGGATTAATCATTTGTGATCCAACTTCACCTACAGAAGAAGTGAGTATAAGTTTAATGAATCTTTGCAAATCGCCTTTCCCAATAATGTGCTAGTTAGCAAGTTTCACGATGAATGCTGCTAAAGTAACAGTCTCTCAAAGAGGCTCCGCTCTTCACCCCACGGAAGAGAGGGGCGGGGTGAGCAGAACTCATTAGCATTTAAAGGGACATGCACCGAAACGGGTCACTGTGAACAGAGCTGCTTTTGACAGGGTAAAAAGGGCGTTGTTTTACACTACCACTGAAAAATTAACCATGGTATGTTATAGACTTTTCATTAAGACCCTAAAGAATCATATCAACTTCTGGAAAATGGGCATCCGATGACACCTTTAAGACTGTATAATGATATGGTTGAAAATAAAATGATTTTAAACAGCAGGCCAAAAACTAAAAGCATCACCTACTTGCTTTGATGGAAGAAATAAATTTTGAAGAAATAAACCCATTTATGAACCCGGACTATAAAGTGGCTGAATAAGCTTGAAAATAAAAGTAGGACAACTGTCAACTAAATCCGTGCATTAGGTGCCAAGTGCACAGCTCAGCTGATTATAAACAGAGTGATGCAGATGCAATGCAAACCCACAGCTGATCCCCTACGAGAACCAAGAAAGAACTTTGTTTTCAGTTCTTAGATGTAACCTTTTTATTATTTGTACATTCAGCACTTACAGGAGTAAACAAAAAAAAATTAAAAGAAAACAAAATGTCAGCTTTTATGCTAAAACGATAAAAAAATTAAAAACCAAATGTGAAAAGGTTAAATATGCATCCCATTCTCCATGGCAACCTGCTAACAGCAAAGGGGTGGTAAAAGGCAGACAATACAAGACAAAAGAGGTACAAGGAATGAGGAAAACAAGAGGCAAAGTAGTGATCAGGACTTAAATCACGCTGAAGGCTTTCAGAGCATCTCTTTCTGATCCCAGATTCACTCTTTCAGATCTGTGACGACACTACACTGAAGGAGAAAGAGAATGTCACCAAACCAGGAGGACGTCTTGCAGTCCGACCCATTTATACCAGAAGTCCATTAACACTGTGGTGAGAAATGAACACCAGGAGTCTTAAAGCCCAGTCAAGAGACAACGAGAAGAGTCTACATGGAGACACAGCACCACCGTGGTCCCAGTGTGTGTGTGTGCACCCGTGTGTCTTTACGCAGAGTGTGTGTGCATGTGTGTGTTTTTATAAAGTCTGAGTTGGTCCTCAGGAAGGTAGGCATAGAGCTGCACATACAGGAAACAGGGGGCACAAACTGGACAGTTCCAGGCTTCCCTTAGTGTCGTCGATCTCTGAGCGGAGGGTCGCTGCGGCTTCGTGACCTCCTGCTCCCGCTTGCACCGTTTCCGCCAGGCCTGCGGTATCCCTCCTTCCGTTTATCCCCCTCTCGCTCCCTTTCTCGACCTCGGTCTCGTTCTCTGTCACGGTCTCTCTCACCTTCCCCTCCGGTGGCCCCACCGGTCTTCATCCTCTCTCGCCGCTCCTCCTCACGTTTCTTATCCTCCTCTTCAATCTCCTTCCTCCTCTTCTCTCTTTCCCTCATGCGTTCAGCACGAGCCGCTGCCCTCTGTGCTGCCTGCAATGCAAAGTGCGATGGATAATGAGCACTGGCATAACATCATAAAAACAGAAAATGTTTTCCTTTGCACGTTTTAGTTATTTATTAGCAATGTTTGCTAAGAAATATACCTGCTCCTCAGTCAGGGGGAGCCAGTATATGCACGGAGCCGCTTTGGTTTTGCAGAAGAGGTCATCCAGCAGTTTAGCAGGTGGATCCTCTGGTCCTTTTTCTAAAAAGACACGCACACAAAAAAAGCCAATAAATAATATATATTTTATTTATAATATATTTATAGTCAAGTATAGAGTATACATAAATTATGCAAAAAAAACAATATAGTATAATGTAGATATTTAAAGTTAAGTAATAATAACAATAGATTTAAATATAATATTTATAAAATATTGTGGACGCTGGACCACAAAACCAGTCATAAGGGTAAATTTTTTGAAATTGAGATTTATACATCATGCATAAATAAGCTTTACATCGATGTCTGGTTTGTTAGGATATGACAATATATTTGGCCAAGATACAACTATTTAAAAATCTGGAATCGGAGGGTGCAAAAAATATATACAGTGGGTACGGAAAGTATTCAGACCGCCTTAAATTTACTTAGGACCATGTGATATTTCAGTTTTTCTTTTTTAATAAATCTGCAAAAATGTCAACAATTCTGTGTTTTTCTGTCAATATGGGGTGCTGTGTGTACATTAATGAGGAAAAAAATGAACTTAAATGACTTTAGCAAATGGCTGCAATATAACAAAGAGTGAAAAATTTAAGGGGGTCTGAATACTTTCCGTACCCACTGTATTGTTGGCTATTGCTACAAATATACCCATGCGACTTATGACTGGCTTTGTGGTCCAGGGTCAAATTTATATTTAACATTTAAATAATTATAATAAAATATATTGAAATTATTTAACATTTAAATCATAAAAAACAAATACTATAAATATTTTGATAAGTTAAATATTAAATATTTATACAACAAATATTTACATGTAATATTTAAATGTGAAAACTAAATTATTTGTAACAAATATATATAAAATGCACAGACTAACAAATAAAAATAAATTTTAAATATCAATAAATGTAAACAAATAATAGTAATAATAATAAACTCCACCGCACAAAACGTAACGGAGGACTTTCAAATTTCTCACCCTTTTTATCTGTTTTCTTCTCTTTGCTCTTTCCTCTTTCCTTGCGCCGCCTTTCGCGATCTCGTGAACGCGATCTTCTGACCCCAGCTTCCCGCTCCTCTCCAGGTTTGCTGAAGTCTCTCACTTTATCTCTGTCCCATTCCCTCTCTGCACGCGTTCGCTCCCTCCTTTCCATTTCCCTTTCTCGTTCTGCCCACTGATCACGCTCTGAAAGGAGAGGCGGGGGTACTGGACGGCCAGGCCCAGCGGCTGCCGCCCCACGAGGCTCCTCTGTTGGCTTTTCTCCTGCGGGACCCAAACCCCTGTGGAAGTCCAACTGATGGGGATACACCAGGATTGAGAGACAATTAGTTCCCATAGAAGAAAAAAAAAGAAAACTGAATACATAACATTAATCTCCTCCAATTAAATAAAATCCTTACCTCCTCTTGCGTGCAGAAATCAACACTGAGGAACTTAGGGTTACTCTGGGGCCACTTAACCCCATGTAGTGCTGTACGAGTGGCCATCGCCTCTTCCGCACTAGAGTACTGAGGGAAAGTATAGATAGCCAGAGGGTAAGAAACAAAGAAATTCGCAAAAAAAAAGATCCAGAGGTATGAAGAGAGGAGACTTACGGTGACGTAACAGTGAGATTTAATCTTGTCAATCCAGAAACCTTCCTCCACTACAGTCCCTGTGCGGTTCAACAGCTCCTTCAACTGCCCCAGGGTAAACGGCCTCACCTTAGACACATTACGAAACAAGTCTGTGGTCACTCAACCTGGAACAATAAATCCTTGTGCATGTAGCATCTTTATTTTATCAATGATTTAAGTGTGTATACACATACCAGGTTGCAGACATGGACAACGTTAGACAGCTTGCCACGAGGAGGAGAGGGCTGTTTGGCTGTGCGGACCGGGTCATCAATGGTGATACTCACACCCGACTTCTGCTGGCTAATGGAACGGCGAATCAGTGTGTCACTGGGAGTAACTTTAGGCAGGAAACAAAGCGAGAAAGGAGCGAGTGAGATCACACTAACCTCAATGTCAGATTTTCTATTTAAAACTTAGCTACATAAATTTCACAGAAAATGTAAGTGTGCGCCTTTTTGTAACTCTCACCTGTCTTCATATCAACGTCTCGCCCAGGGGACGACGGCTCTGTCTCCATGGAAACCTGAATCGAGCCTTCAATATTTTCCTCCTGGCTAAGTCTATCCTGCCCTTCACTTCTTTCTTCCTCATCCTCTTGTTCATTTCTTTTAGAATCTTTCTGTCCATTCTCTTGTGTGTCAGAGGGCACAACCTGTTAAGTTGAGGGGGAGCAATGGATATTTTACCAAACACATACAAATAATCAAACACGCATCTTTGCTTCTAGTAAAGGAATAGCATGCACCTGTGTTACAGTTCGTCTAATTTTCAGGTCTTGGTCACCCCTCTCTCCTCCTTCCTCCTCCCCAGAGAGATGCATCTCCTCTGGATGCAGGTCTAACACAGCCTCCTGACCCAAGGCAGGCTTGATGTCTGGTATTAAAGACTGTAAAGAGTGAGGAATGCATTATGGCACTGTTCATCAGATGACAGAGGACAGGAATAGGACATCTTTAACTTATTTTTATTTCATATTTTATCTGACCTTCAAAGAGTCTGTGGTGATACTGATGGAGGGTTTCTTGGCAGTGACAGCTGTACTGGAGCCCCATCTCCTCTTCCTGCCAGCGCCAGCACTGCTTGCGGCCTCCGCTTCCCCCTCCGAACTCACCACCCCAGGAGACTGTTTGCTGCCTGAAGACAGACATCATATGGCAATCTTTGAAATCTTGATTTTAAAGCATTATCTTCTTTTGGATTTCCAACATAACAACACTGTGTCTTAAGACTCCGTAAAACAATACACTACTTAGAGTTGCCAGGTCAATACGATTTAGTACACCCAAAAATTGTCATTAATTACTCACCCTCATGTTGTTCAAAACCTGTAACACGTTTGTTCGTCATTGGAACACAAATTACGATATTTCTGATTTCATCAGAGATCTCTCTGACCCTCCATAAACTGCAAGGGTCCTACCACGTTCAAGGCCCAGAAAGGTTCCAAGAACATTGACAAAATAGTCCATGTGACGATCAGCGGTTCAACTGCAATTTTATGAAGCTACAAGAATACTTTTTGTGCACAAAAAAAGACTAAAATAACGATTTTATTCCACAATTCTCCTTTGTGTCATTCTAGCCCCACTTTGGAGAGTATAATGACGCATATGCGTGCTTTCCTCTGAACGTAAACAAGGTGCAGTGCATGCATGTTCTACGTCAGCAGCACCATGCACATGCGTTGTTTACGTGCAGATCAAAACACACACATGCGTCGCGATACTCTCCAAAATAGCGCTAGTGTGACGTGGAGAAGAATAGTTGAATAAAGTCATTGTTTTAGTCTTTTTGTGCACAAAAAGTATTCTCATAGCTTCATAAAATTACAGTTGAACCACTGATGTCGCATGGATTATTTTACAGATGTCGTTACTACGTTTCTGGGCCTTGAACGTGGTAGTACCCTTGCTGTCTATGGAGGGTCAGAAAGCACTCAGATTTCATCAAAAATATCTTACGGGTTTGGAACGACATGAGAGTGAGTAATTAATGACTATTTTCATTTTTGGGTGAACCATCCATCTAATGCTTTTAATTAGCATGGATGCATAAAATTGGACAAAAATGTCAGTAAAAGAAATATTACTGTCATATTATTAAATTATTTCGGAAGGACCATGTGACACTAAAGTCTGGAACAATGCTGCTGAAAATTCAGGACTAACTAATTATTTTAAATTGTAATAATATTTCACAATATTATTATTAAAGTTTTTATTTTGATCAAATAAATGCAGCCTTGGTAAGCATAAGACACTTCTTTCAAAAACAAAGTAAAAGAAGAAAAAATAAATATCACACGACCCCAAACGTTTTACTAGTATTGCACAGTGAATGATCTCTCCAAATTAATTAAGGGGAAACATAGAGATACTCACTGCCGAGAGAAATCCTTCGGGCAGAGAAGGTCTTTGGCGTGGTGCTCTGAAAGAGAACAAACACACCCAAGCCATGGGAAAAGGTGAGATAGTATATATGGAAAGAAAGTACAGGGTTCAGAGTGGGAAAAAATGTGTGTGCATGTAAGAGAGAGATAAAACTGAATGACAAATAGAGACCAAAATAGAGTGAGCCATCATCAAGGAATTGAGTAAAGAGATATGAAAGGGAATCTATTAGGAAAGACCGCCTCTTCAGTCAGAGCGTGTATACACACACACACACACAGTGTGTGTGCATGTTTTTCATGTGGTTGGAATTTGATAATTTCAAAGATCTATTTCTGCTCTGAAGATGTGGTCTTGTCCTCTCCTACACAAAAATACTTTTTATACTTTTTGCTGCAGTTATCTATCACACTGAGTGACCCCTCAGGTTGAAATATCCTTTGAGGCAGGTACTGTAGTGAGTAGTGAGTGCATGTTTTTTTACATACGGTCTACAGTGGCCATATATATATATATATATATATATATATATATATACACACACACACACACACACATACATACATTCATCTACTCTTTATCCTGTAGTCAACAGCTCCATTTTAAGGTTACCAGGGAGTCTCTGCAAATATTAGCATTGTCTAGGCAAAACATTTAAAGTAGAAAATGGAGAATGACTACTTATTTCCTGGTACCATTGACACGTTCTTCACTGGGTAGGGAATGGCCCAATCGCACGTCTGCATGTACTGTATCTAGGCAACAACTGTCCAATCAAAGAAGGCTGGGAAGTTTGGTCACAGATCTGAGAGCAGGCTGGCAGAAGAACTCTTATGTAGAACAATGTGGGTGGAGTTTGAGAGGCTCTGAGTGTCTTTTTTGAAGTCCATCGTATTGGCATGAAAATGGAAAGTGGGAGGAGTCTTTCAAACAAACCGCTGAGAAACCTTTCAGAAGACTGAGTCACTTCACACTCATGTCAGATGTATTTGTGAAGATGTCCATGCTTGAAAGGCTGCTTTCAAGCAGCCACAAAACAACGAACCAGATAAAGTCAATTTTCAAACTATCAGTTTGGTTTGATCACGATAGTCCAGAGAAAAATGAGAAGGCTGTAAAGTCCAGCAGAGCCAGTTGTTGTATTACAGTGCAATGAAAACAGAGTTCAAAATTTCCTTGGAAATTAAGAAAACACATCAAGGTTTTTCTGCAGGATAAAGAGAGAAACTAGTCCCATTATATAGTGAAGAACTGGGACAATCACTGGAAATGTCTCCATCAAAACCAAAAAAAGTCACATTGAACAGACCTGAAGATGTCCATTTATTTGCTTATGGTTTCTGGTAATCTCGCTTCCACCCTTGCTGCCATCTTGAGCCAAACTGACACTCAGCAAAATGCCACACCCACATTACTCAGCATTTCATTATCAGTCCAATCAACAGGTGCTTCCAGCCAACGCCATTGAGGAAACGTGGCCATTGTTGCCTGGTGTGTTGCACTGCAGAGCAGACTCAAGGGCCTATCAGGTTAAGCCATGGCGCTTGGAGACAGTGGAACAGATGCTGCAGTAGAAGTAGTAGTAGTTGTTGTATGCAGGTACCAATAAGGGCAATGGAAGAGGCATGAGCACCTTTACAACAAAGCAATCAAGGGGGTTTTAAACATCAGCCAAAGTGAGAGAGTGCCCCCTGCTGCTTCTGTCTAGGACAGCTTCAGCAAAGGTTCACACATCATCATCTGACCACAAAAAGGGCAAACAATACACAGAGCTGCTAAATTAGCTTATGTACAAGTAAACATAATTAGTAATGCCTGCATGTACCTGTAATAATAATGCATCTGTATTGAAAAATATAGGGGGAAGGATGACAGCCATTTATAAAACGTTGTTTGCCTCTTTATGTGGAGGATATGTGGCGAATGGTAGAGTTGGGTCAGCCCAGCACTCCTCTGTGCGCTTACCTCCTCACTGCTCTCTGGAACCTTCTCAGGCTCCGCCATGACAGCCTCCTTCACCTCACTACTGAGAAAGACAGGAGCAAAAAGAATGGGGGGGGGGAACAAAAGGGAGGAGAACGTAAAAATAATTAGTCACAATTTGCTATAGCCACAGTAAAAGCCTACAGAGTAAAAGTGTTTTAGGATTTTAAAGGGATGAAAAGTCATCATTTACACACCCTCAACAGATGTTAGGCAGAATAACGGTCTCAGAAATGCATGTGACTGAGGTTAATATTCTGCCTAACATCGCATCTTCTTTTCCATGTAAGAAAAAAAGTCATACAGATTGAAACAACATGAGAGTGAATAAACAATTACATATTTTTGATTTTTTGGGGGTAAAATATCCCTTTAGTGTAGGGTGACCATACAACTTCTTTATGAGAACTTACAACAAACAGTGTATCCTAAAACACAGAGATCCCTACAGTATCCACTACCTCAAAAACAGAGACTAATCAATCACCTCTACACACAACCGCAACAATTTCAGGCCTGCTTTTACAAAAAACAACAGCTCCATAAAAAATATATATATTTCTGTGCTGTATCTATAACCTTGCGAATGCAGTTTCACATTGACCTCCAAATGAAAGCTCCAGGCTACAAGTCGACTAAATGCAGCGCTCATCCCGCAGAGTGGAGTGACACGCGTGGCGAAGCGTCAGTTTCAATCTTTCATTCGCTTTAAGATCGTTCACACGGCCGACAAAAGTAACGTTAGCGGAATACGAGTCGTTTCAAATAAAGTGCGCTCTGATACTAACATATCTCTAGCACATAAAAAGAAATATGACAAAACCCGCTCCGCCGCATTGTGGGATGCGAGTACATGAGTGCAGCGCTGAGCATCATCGGTCTGTCCTCCCCGTAGAGCAGCATAACGCACAGTGAGATCACGCACCTATCAGCGCCTCTCTAAGGACTACAAACGGACGGGACTTCGCGAATTCATTGAACACCGCTCGCCCAAAGCTAACGGCCCACATTAAGCCCCGTGTTATTGGTCAAACGCGCAGTACAGCCATGTTTAGATGAGAGAAAGGGAGGTGCGCGAGACTCACTGCAGCAAGACCCCATTATCACCGGCTGAGAGGCAGCCGCACTGATTGCCTGTTCGTAATTCACACGAATTCAATAACGCGCTCTTAAAACGAGCGTCATGCCGTTTTGGGGAGGAACTAAAAAGCTAGCGACGCTACTAACTTCTATGTTAGTAGCGCAATAGTAACTGTTTAAAACGATTTTACATGGGAAAGTCCGATTCGTTTTAAGTGAATCGGTTTGATTTTAACAAGCTGTTCAAAAATTGGTCGATTCATTTGACTTTATTTTATCTTCAGTTTCGAGGCAAACTATACAAATTAAATAAATAGTTTGTTTGATTTAATTTGTACTTTATTCGTCCATAAAGGCAGGCTAAGGGTTAAAACTAAGTTTCATTCTGCAAAGGTAATACATTTAATATCTGAAGAGAGGAGAACAGTCGCAGCCAAATTACAAAACAGGCAAAACAGCTTGCAACCAATAAAACATTAGTAACCTCTTATTTTTTGGCAACATACAGAACTGTGATGAATTACAGTTCCCATCTCATTTTGCATTACCTCACAGTTATTTAGATTATTTAAATATGATGCATGTCATTGTAATATTTTCTCCTATCTCGGTTTAATGAGCTAAGTAAACTAGCATCTACAGCATTAACACTGGCTCTCTGATAGGGCTGCACAATTAATCGAAATTAAATCGCAAAGGCGATAAATCACGATTAGGCAGAAGCTGTGATTGTCTTGCGTATCTTCCAGTGAAGCACGGTTCTGTGATCAGCAGTAAATTGCCATCCGAAGGCCAGAGGGCGCTCTGGCGCTGAAACTCCAAATACGCCTTGCAGAAGAAACCCAGGAAATCCCTATAGTGGTTGCTGAATAAACAGAAGATTTAACTGCTTTCATTAATTCAACTTAGGCCTGGGCGATAAAACGGTATCGATATTTATTGACAGTACACCTTCTTCGATAACAATATAAAAAATGTTCGATATAGTGCACGATATAGGCAAATGCTATGAGTGACGCAGACAGCACACATGAACACATGCTGAATTGAGTGCTGTGCCTGCCTGTGATAAGGGGATTGTGAATAAAAAAATAATAATAATATTAGTCGAATTTAAAATAAACATTTGCATTTGAATGTTAGGAGTGCGTCTGGGAGCGTCATCAGTGGCGCACGAGATGTGGTGATAATGATGTAAGTGACGTTGTTGCATTTTAATGTTTTGTTAGGCTAACCCACGAGATGCGCCGCTGCGGTGTTATGCATTCAAAATATGAAGAGAAATATAGAAGCTTAATGCGGAGAAGATCTTGATTAGGAGAAAACCGAAAAACCAAGCCATTCACACAGATGCATATTCAGCGCATTTTTAGACAGACAAATATGACTGCTGCACTCGCGTCTCACACAAGAGATGTAGCCATGCAAAGTTAAAACAGTTTAAACTTTTAGAAAACACGTCGCAAACTTGTGGAGGTTTATTCTTTTTCACTGCGTCTCTTATGTTTTTAAATGCAATCTCCATGATGGGCGATTCGGCTTTTTGTATTAATCAATGCATAAATACATGATGCTGTTTTGTTCATAATTGTTTATGCAATTTACGAAATTATATTTGATTTCTATGAGTTAATTTCGACGTAATGCACTTTTTTTTTTTGACAGTTATTTCCCTGCGTTGACATTATGTGCTGCATTATTTTGCTCATTGCGCCCTCCTGTGGCCTCGGAAGACAAGCCAAAAGTTTCCTTAAAGTCACCATGAAATAAATTTTTTAAAGGGGTCATATGATGCAATTAAAATTTTTCCTTTCTCTTTGGAGTGTTACAAGCCCTTGGTGCATAAAGAATATCTGTAAAGTTGCAAAGACTAAAGTCTCAAATCCAAAGAAATATTCTTTATAAACGTTAAGAGTCAGCCACGCCTACCTAAAACGGCTTGTTCTAACACGCCCTCACATATCTACATTACTATGTGGGAAGATTTGCATAACGCCCGCCGTTGTGAAAGCAAAACAACTTTTGTTTGGCCTTCCAAAAGAGGCTTCGTCATGCCTGGAGCTGATCCGTGCTGGTTGCGGAGGAAATACAAACAACTTTGCACTGGATCACCGGATCGGCTTTCACCGTGGACAAAGCGGAGTCCAGCCCGGGGTTGTCACATGTGGTTGCAGCAAGCCCGCCGGATGCTCCTTCGTCGAATCCGCCACCTCTGCTCACTCTAGCCCTCCGGCCGTTCCTCACTTTAGCCCCCGGCCTCTGCTCACTCTAGGCCACCGTGTGTGACGCTGTGTTTCGTTGTGAAAGCGAAAACTACATTGTTTGGACTTTCAAAAATGGACACAACTAGAAATCAGTGGTTAAGTTGTATTTACAACACTGTTCCAGAACACTT